AGCAGCCCCCAAATTTACTTCAATCGTTATTATGTGTAACCATCTTAGCCAGCCAAAATTTCAAAATTATATGAAAATCCTGAGATTCCTCATAGAACCCATATCTTGTATCCCCATTTATGAGGCTTTTTGGGATTGTATGTGTTTATACTTGATAGACGTAGTTTTAGGGGAAGAGACAAATCCTTGCTTATGAGGAGCTTTTTCATATTGCTTAATGCTGCTCTAGCTCGTTCTACTCTCGCCTTTATTTCTGTGGCCTGTTTTTAGTGCTGCAATGACATCTTCTACCTCCGATTTAAGGATTGAAGGTCCTGTTTCTTCTTCTCCATATAGGTGATCATCAGTACTGTCAGATGCAAATCATTTTTGTATGTATGATTTTCATGTTTCTAAGATCGTTGAAGGCTCTGAGATAAGATTTCCATCGCTATCTTTTATGCTGTTGGGTGACTTATTGAATTTCCTTTTGTTTGTCATTTGTTCAATCAGGGGCGAGATTTTATCAAGACTCCGTGTATTTTCTAAATTACTACTAAAATGAAGAAACCTTTTGATCGTTTCAAAACGATTGATAGGCAATACGTCTGCAACTTGTGAAATTCTTGTTGTCGGAGCACAATAGCGTCTTGTAATAAGTTGTCTTATTAGAGACGTCTACAACAATATCTCCATAAGATTACAAAAACTGGTGTCACAAAAAAAACTAAACAATTTGTAAGGAGAATTGAGTTGCAATATGTTGGTTGAAAGTAATTCACTATCTTCAAAATTCAGTTCATTTACATTTCGAACAGTTTTTGGAGGACGCCATGTCATATGAATTTTTTAATAGATTTTTGTTCCGTAGGTAGTTCAGTATACAATTCATCGGTTGATAAATCATTATTTTCATTATCAGAATCTTCTTAGCTGTCAATGATTGATGTCAATCATTCTGGCTCATTGAAAATCACTGAAGATTTGAATAAACCTGTAGAAAAAATTACCTGATTTTTTAACTGTTAACATTTGGTATATATCATAAAAAATATTTGCACGAAAGCCTTGTGTAATTTTTCGCATATTTATTCTACTAAAAATATTTTTATTACTTGACCCAAATACGCATTTTGCTTTAATATCAAGCTGTAGAACTTTATTGTGTCATAAAACGCCTAGGAAATAAGTATGACAATAGGTCACTAAAGGACATCGTAACTTTTTTATGGATTTGTCTCATATTTAGTGCAATTAATCCTCGCCCAATTCCCAACCGCTCCCCAACCACCCAGCATTGTCACTGCCTGTTTGATTAAGGTAATATCCCAAAGTGATGCGTGAGATTGTTTCACTTGTTTCAACTACTCTCATAGCGTACACTACGATCAGTAAAAGAAGAGAGCAATGTGCCGGAGGCGGCCAAAGGGCGCCATCGGAAAGAGGGGGGCGGCTGAGAATTTTCAGCAATGAACCACCCTATCGGTATGTCTACGTTTCAGTTCCATCGCATCGTTTGTGGATTAATACTAGACGAAATTTGATATTTTCGATCGCGACACGAGAACTCTATTGTGTTTGTTCCGGGGGTCGGTTGCTTTTTGGCGGGAAGGAAGTGATGTAATCGGATTTTGATAGTTTTGTGTTTGGTTTGACATGTGTCGGTGGTGTGTAAACAGTGGATTTAGGTTAGGGAGGATTTGTTTAACCAAACTAAACCAACACAGGTGATGTTCTTTATAACAGTATTAAGTTACCTGGTACAAAATTTTATCGGCTGCATTTTTTACGTTACTTATTAAAATTGTTCCCTTAACATAATTCATTAAAATATCAATAGATTTGTGTTCCACAAACACTAAAAATTCAAAACAAACTGACCTTGTTTCATATTTTATTTTGCAAAAAACCAAAATGTGTGACATATGACAATGACATTTCACATGAATGACATTTTTTCAAACTCACATTTGCACTTGAAACCGTTAACGGAATTTGTGAATTAAATTCTTATTTCTAATCATTTTAATTAATTTAATGTGAGCGAACATGAATTCGGATCCAGATTTTCTTTTAAGAATTCTATTATGTTTTTAGTTACTAAGCCAGGGCCGATAATTTTTAAGACCAAAAAAACATGTAACAGGATAAAGCTGATGGCAAAAGGAAGAAAATATACCAAAAATTTAACGAAAACTAATTTACAGTGAGTCTGAGGTCGGGAAGTGGAAAGGGGCGTATTTGTAAGAGTAAAAACGGTTTATCACGATTTTCAAAAACACACAAAAAACATTTTTTATTCATTAAATTAAATTTATTAAGATTATAAAAATACAGTTTTGTTATATAGATAGATAAATTTAGAGAGGTGTCCTTCTGGCTTATTCCACTGCGATCTTTTCAGACCTATTCTGTCCTGTTAAGAATACAAGTTATACCTGCACTTTTGAGTTTTATTAGGTTAGAACGCTAAAACATTGATAGCCAAATAATCTACCTATATGTTAAAAATGAAAGTCCTATCTGCTGTTTAAAAATAAGTAATCCCACTTTAAAATTTTATCAGATCTGCATTTTACAGTTTATGTTAAGCCAATTTGTCGAATCTACATTTGTTAACATTTTTAGTCGTATCTTTACAAGACGATTTGTAGTTACTACAAATTTGCTTAACAATTGTATAGTTTCGACAAAATATTCCAACAACAGGAAGATCTTACCTAATCATTCATAGTGTTCCCGCCTTTTAAGTTTCTTAACCTAAAAATTAAACAGTCGTAAGCGTTATTCGGCGTATCTGATTTTCAGTTATTTACTAGTATTAATCTTACTGCTTTAGTGTTCTTAAGTGTGTTTACATTAAATTTTATTAACTGAACCAGTAATAATGGACAGAAATAGCAGAGCATTTAAAATGCTGCATATTTTAAATAACCAACAAAGGGAGAAAATACATAGTTTACGACGACGTGTCGTGAAGAAACCTAAACGTCAGCATGATAATGACCCGATTTTATTTTGGCAGATTCAGAGACGGAAGAAATTGAGGAACCGAAAAGGCTTAAATAAAGAAAAGGTTTAAAGTAAAGCTTATTAGTGATGAACTTTTAGAGCTGCAAATGTTGTTCCTGAAGAATCTGATTCCAAAGATGAAGAAGAAGGTAAGGAAGACTGTTTCCCTTTTATTCAAGAAATCTTGGTAGATATAATATATGTATCTGTTGAAAGAGCGGAAAATGACAATTTAATTAAAATGGGGAAAATCCGTAAACGAAAGAAATTTAAAGAGAGCCTAGCAATGAGAAAAAAAAAACAAGAAAAATTAACAACCACAATTGCTCATCACGGTGTCAAAGCATCTTGTATCTCTTGGAAGAGATGTTGAAGAGATGAATGAATGGAGAATTTTGGAAATTGCAAAAAGACGAACAGAAATATTTTATTTTTAATAACGCATCTGAACAAGTACCCAAATGGAAAACCACACCTAGTGGATACAAACAAAGTGTCTGCAAAATATTTTTTATGAGAACGCTGGGATCTAGGATATGGAAAGGAAAATGACAGAGGTATTAGAGTTGCCCTTACTAAAACAAATTTAAAAGTGACAGTCAATAGGAATAAACAAGGAAAGACAGCAAAAATTAAAATAGATCAAAATATTATTAAAGAAACATAATATAGAATCTTTCAGACCCATAAAACCACACTACCGTCGGGAACACGCATGGGAAACATGGGAAAATAGTTGATTTTCTAAACATGAAAGATGGGATTTAAAGGCGATTTTTTTCTGAAAAATGTAACTGCTGCAAATGTCTTGTAGGTAAAAAAGTTGATTTATTATATTCTAATTTTGGCTTAACTTATAATGAGACGTCCCGTTCAGCGAAGGTTAAGAAGACATCTTTCATGTGATCTGCTTGTCAGATTTTTCGAACCTTAATACTATTTTATAATGTAGCGTTCTATAGTAATTTTTTTCAAACCCAACCTTAAGTAAAAAGAAACTATCACTGGATAGTTTTCTTAAGTGTTTTGTTACTTTTACTAACATTGTAAAATTTTACATATAGCAAATTGTTACTGGTGGTAACGACTTAAAACTGATTGATTTTTTCTGTCTTAATATATTTGTTAGTAGGTAGTATTTACCTTGCTAAGTAGTGAATTCCAAAAGTTTCTTAAAGAAGTAAATTCGTTATGATTTTTTTTAACTAACTCAGCCTGTATGTCTATTTTTATAAACGATATTGGTCGCTGTTCTGTATCTCGAATACGGGGTAAAATAACGGTTTTTGCAGCTTTAAAATAGATAGAATCAATAGGTAGAAAAAGATATGGAAAAAATTGGACTGAAAGGCCAGAAAAGAAAAATGAATAACAAGAAGGAACGGAGAAAATTCACATATGGAGCCAGAGAAGATCTCAGTACATAAAGACAAGCGAAAATGAAGAAAGAAGAAACTTTTCAAGCCATGGGCCTCAAGGCTTTTAGTGCCAAAATAATTATTAGGTAGACCCTCCTAACCCCCTTTCAACTTCTCTATCTTCGCCACATATTTTTGACACTATCAAAAAGTAGAGATAGTAACGAAAAAAATTGAAAAATTGAAAATTAGGATGCTTTTCCGATATTGATTTAAAATAAATAAAAAAATAACAATTTAAATTAAAAGATTACAATATGTTTGAAACATGAAAAAGTAAGTTTTTACATCACAAATATTATTGGAATTTTTCGCATACATTTTGAGATTTGAAAGAGTGTAAATACAAAAGTTGTAGATTTTTTTATTACCTACAACTTTGTCAGGTAACTTTTTTCCATATGACCTAAGACTTTAATTCTTGTTATATATATTTTTTCTTTTACAGTGGGTCTATCCTGTTTCATTTTGTTCACTTTTTATCATTTTCAAAGGCTTCTGTTCTAGCTTAAAACTATTTTTTAATGTTTAAAATAGTTAACATGTGCTACAATACTGTAGAATCTTCAAGTCCATAATGCTTCCCATGAAATGTCTGATAAGCGTCAGAGAAGACTGGGGGTAGTATCAGAATGTTATGAGGAAGATCCTCCAAAGTCCACATTTAATTCTTTGGATTGGGATTCTCCGTCGGCTAAAACCGGAACTGTGAAGAAAAGACCCTTGTCAAGGTAAATATGTGTGTATATATTAATAGTAATTAATATAATATTAATATAAATATAATAAATTTATTTTCTAGCGAGTCCTTTCTTGATACCAAATGGAAAACATCGCAACCATCTCAGATAGATCAAACTCTTATTTCGACTGGCAATGATATGTACAAAGTACAAAGAAATCCCCAACGTACTACATACAATTTAACGTCAGATGTGCCAAAACGAAAAAATGTTACAGAATCATCGCAACACGACTTTATTCTTGCCGAAGTACCAAAAAATAGGCGCGCATCTGGTCTACCTCGAAGAACTAAAAGATATTCGGAGCCAACCTTTAAGCCACCTCCTCCGATTAAAAATTTAGAAAACGAAGCAGGACAAAACGTTGAATATAAAAGAATTGGTAAGTATTTGTGTAAATCTTACCTATTATTTTAATCAACTTTGAACTTTGAAAATAAGGCTAAGCTAGCCCAAGTACTTTCGCTTAAAATAGCATCTTCAGGGGCATTTCGTCAAAATGTGAACTATCCGGCAAGCGTAGAATGTTCGAATATTCGAGCATTCGACCTCATTTTATTTATTATTTTAATCATTCAGAGTATCTAGAGTGCTATGAAAACGACTAACATCCAGAATGACTTCCACCAAAAGCCAAAGAACTGGCATTCAGTACCATGAGTATTTTTTTTATCATATTGCCAGATTTTAATAAGAGCCTAAGACGGTATCCATTAAATTCTGGCAGACATCATCATCATCACCCAGCCCACTGCTGGACATAATCCTTCCTTATTTTTGTCCATTGTGCTCTATCTTGAGCACTTTTTTCCAATTTCTTGACATTTTCTTGAGATCGTCAGTCCAACGAGTAGGGAGTCTTCATCTACTTCTTTTGTCTAACCTCGGCCTGTACTCAAGCAATCTCTTCGTCCACCTTTCATCACTGATACGGGCGACGTGTCTGGCAGGCAACAGCGAGAGAAATATTTTTTATACATTTAACGTTACGGAATGAGACACCCTGGCATCTTTCGGCCGAGTAGGATACTACACCAGAAAGACCCCAGGATAGTGCCGGATTAACCATGTTCCGGCTAAAACCTCAACCACCGTTTCAGTTTAGTGGTCTTACCACTTAATAACAAATAAAATCCTTATATTAAGCGTTACTTTAACAGAAGAATAACTATTATATTAAGGAAAAAATCTTATAAAAACTTATAAATAACCATACCGATTACTGTAAATCGCAAAAAAAATTGTTTAAAAATTGCCTATTACCAGAACAAATGAAAAAAAAACGAAAATATTTCCATGAGGCCATGAATTGGTACTTACCGGTTCATGGCTCCCAATAAAAAAAACAAGATTTCAGATCCCTGGTACAATTTGCTCCTCTGTTCTCCAGATCCTTCTTCTTTTTCACCCCAGAAAACAGACAGTGTACTTCTCCTCATTTTTTCTCTCCTCTTCAAGTTTCCTGAACTTACATTCCCACCACGGCCTTAGATCAGGAATAAGCTCTTTCTTTCACCTGGATTTTCCGTTATCATTCGTCCATTTCTCTCTGCCACTCCACTATCGTTCTCTCTCTATCTCTCATTCTCATCTATATTTTCATCCATCCTCCTCGCATATCGCAACAAAACGATCGGTATCACCGCTCCAATGACATACAGAGGCTTATTTGAAACCGTCCTATATGCGTTAGATAAGCTGAGGAGCATTCGCCTCTATCCACCCATCTTTTGGTGCTACCTAGGCTTTCAATGTTTGGCATCAGCCGTATCAACGCCTCCAGACTTCGGTTCGTCTTCTCTACCGTCTTTTGGATATGTACTCCAAACCTGAGTACTTCCGACAACCGAACTCTGAGATACTGAACCGATTTAATCAGTGCAACCTCCATACCTTGTAGCGTTTTTTTATTTAAGTGTATAGAAAAGATTTCTGTGTTACGTCCCTGTTGTTTTTACCAAAGAAAACAATCGAAATAATATTTCAAGTTTTTTTGACGAGATTTTTAAATGCGTATATTTCTACCGATTCAAAAGTAAATATAGATGTTTTTTTGTCTGTGTTTAGATTCAAATATCGAACCCTTTGTTATAAGCCAGGTAAAACTCAAGTTTAAAATACGCACGTATTTTGTTAATTTGTATTATGTAAATTTATGATGCCCCCTGATAAAAAAAAAGGTTTTATTTGTTTTCTTCGTTAAAAACGCAATAAATCATGAATTCCCCTAATATTAAAGTTGTTTTTCGTTATTAGTCGAGGGTCAAAAAAAAGGATATTTGTTTGTTTAGGCAATAAAGGAACATTTAAAATTTGTTTTTTTGTCGATACGAGCGAGGGGATATTGTTTTGGTTCTGGAGTTTGTGGAGAGGTTAGCTGCAAGACGGAAGGGAAATTTAGGGAGAGTTTCTTGTAAAATGTAACGAAGCAAGGGAGTCGAAGAACAGATTTGAAACGGTGTAGATGTTATACAATGTAGAGTCCAAGAAAAGATTTGAAACTGGGCAGACGGCTGACAATGTAGAAAGTCGGTAAAGAGACCGGCTAAAAAGTGTTGAAAATAGTAGACTATATTCTATGTAATATGTCAAATTTGAAAGGAGTAATCACTATTTTCATTTTTCTAAGTACCTAAGGGATTTGTGTTGCCTGCAAAAATTTTCGAAAGATAATCTCACATGTTGCCGTTGTGTCCAGTTTTATGTATTCCTGTTTTTTAAGAAGCCCTTTCCAAAGTCTTGTGTTCCAAATTTTTAACCTCAAGTTTGTAGTATTTGTCCTAAGAAGCCGTCCCAGAGTATGTCTCACAGTATGGAAATAGATTTGATCGTGTGGCAGAGAAGGTAACCCCAAAAATCTTAGTGTGTTTAGTGAAACCAAGGTAACCCTTTTTTGTTTTAAACTTTTGAAGGAAAAGAAACATTAAAATAATAATTGCTTTCATACAATTTAAAAGTTTTAATAATTAATATTGTAAATCTTAGAGTGTGGTTATGCTTTCAATTTGATTTGTTCTCCGTTGTAAGTAAGATTAAGATTTTATGTTGACAGCTAGCAGCTAACTTTATTATTTTTTTTGACAATAATTTGCCTTGGTTTTTTAAAGAAGATTAACCTCTCTATGAATGTTTTCATTTTAAAGATATTTCTTTATTTGTAATAAATTATTTCTGACACAGTTTCATTAACAGTACAACAGTTAATATTTCAGTAAAATTTGTAAATATTTATAGCAATCTCCTTTGTAGACAAATAAGCACGTAAGTTTTTGCTAATTTTTGTATTATGTTTATATAATATGTTCTTGTAAAATCTGTATTTTTGAAAACTGTTTGGTGAGACAAAAATAAATGTTTAATTTGTTTCTCTGATCTATTTTGAGTTTTATTTGAAAAAGATATTTTTTTTTTTCTATGTTTTTGATATACAATTATTTCCCTAGTTACAACTAGTGGTTGTAATAGGTATAATTGGGCACCTCAAGTGGCGCCCTATATTAAATTTCTTGAGGTGTTTCCGTTAATTTTCATTCTGTTTGTCCCAAGAGATTTGTATAAGTACCCCTTTATTTCTTTTCTTTGTAGTTGTCCAATCCAACCCCCAATATCTTCAACTTATCCACGACCCAGCTCTCCAACAACCAACTGAGTGTCCGTAAGCACTTGTTTCGATTATTTTGTTTGCCCAATCTTGTCTCCCATATTCTTACCCTGTGGTAAGCAAAATAGTCGTTACAAATTTAGCGCCCAACGTGTGTGGCTTGTCTTAGATTTGCGCCAATTGTACCTATGGTTACAATTTTGGCGCCCCCAACGTGTGGCATTCTTTTAGTTTTGCTCCAAATTGTACTTTCGTTACAATTTTGGCTCCCAACGTGCGAGGCTTTTGAATATTCCTTAATTTTTAGATTTTTGACCATTTTCCTGAAGCCACATATCTTTTTCAGTTTCCCCAGTTCCCTGCCATTTATATGAAACTTTTTTCCTTTTGAATAGTTCCCCAAAGTGTCTCACAAACAGTAGTGTATTTGTATTACAATGTATGTATTTTGTACCAACATTATGTATTGTTGTTTTTTCAGGTAATGTACTTATAGTGACATATGTATTGTTCTTCATATATGTAATGGTAAATGAAAGCAAATATTTGAGTTAAATATTTAAATATGAGTTTTGATTGAACTATTGATTTTGAAAAGAATTTAAAAACAGTAGCAAATTATACAGTTACTGTTACATTTATTTTTTTATTGATTCGACAAATTTTACAGAATAATCGGTTTTTGTAATTTTTTATTTGTTGGGTCATTTTGAGTAAATGTGTGTATTCGTTTGAGTGACTTTTGAGCTATGTAGTTGAGAAGTAGTATTATGCAGTTTGTCTTCTAATTAACCGTCTCTGAAGGTGTATTTAAATGCCAAGGGTTAATTAATGTTGTTGTACGAGGGGTAGTCATTGTGAGTCGTAGAGAAGATTCGACAAGTTTAGTCTCAGTAGTAGACTGTTTGTTTATTGTGTATCCTTTCTTGTATCTGAATGACCACAGGTGTAATATTTGTGATCAGGAGATGCTGTTTTAGTTTTGACTAGGAGCAGTCTCATTTAGTTTTCGGAACAAGAGTTGGTTTATTTTGGTATTATTTAGAGTAGCTCACTCAAAGGTCAAGTTTTCAATATTATTAGTATTTTGTCTTTCCCTGTATGTACGGTTTATTTTGTTTGTTAGTGTCCATGTTGTCCCATGTTATTTGAAACCATTTTTTTAGTCCTTGTTAGTGGAAGAGTGAACTTTTAGGAGACAGGTCAAAGACCTCATTTTTGTTTACCAACTGTTACTAAGTCAAGAGCAGAAGTTGCAGCAAACTGATTGAGTTTTGGATTTCAGTACGCGGGAGTGCAAGTGAGACTTACTATCAGGTGATAAATGGAAACGGTTGTTTCTTAAAATTGTCATATTTTCTACCAGTTGTTGAAGTTGATTTTAGTTATTTTGTGTGTTTGTTTTCATCCAATTTTTGAAAAATGAAGTCTACCCAGGTTAATCATTTGAAATCAGGAGAGTTATCTTATGAGCTTTTCATAAGAGGTAAAAATGTCCCAAATAAGACAGTTGATGATAAGAGAAAGATGTTAAGAGCTTTGTTGGCCATGGAGGCCACTTCGTCTTCAAGTTTAGTCGATTTGGTTAGTAATGTAGTAGATCCTGAGAAAGAGTTGTGTGAGATTAAGTTGATTATGGAAGATTTATGTATTAGTGCTCAATCAATAAATGT